GCCAAATATTACGACAACAATATATTTCCTACGATTAAGGAACAAAAAGTTTTTGAAAAAAATCTATTCAATCGAACTCATAGAGCCAACGCAGAAATCATCATGTTAGATGGAATCACCTGTTTATACAGAAGCAATGTGGATTTGTTCTTTTACGTCATGGGCAGTTCGCATGAAAATGAAGTATGTATACCAGGGGTGGCCAACATGAATAGGTTCACGAGGCACACGGTTTAATATAATAATTCCAAGAACCAAATACAGATAAATTTATAATAATTTGATAAAATTGTATGAATAAAGCGCGAGCCGTATCTAACAAAACAATGACAAGAGCCACATGTGACTCGCGAGCCGCAAATTGGCCATCTCTGATGTATACCGTCTGAATCGACAAATATATACAAATGACATCTGTGCATGATAATATTTACATTCCAGTTACTATTGATGAGTGTCTTACAATGCATGTATGATTCTATCAGTCAAATTCTCAGGAAAAACGTTGAAAAACGAGTAGTACTGGATAACTTAGATGTCGTTATGCTAGCATTAGATGAAATTTGTGATAATGGGTATGTTAGCAAAAAATTTAACTTTAAAATTATATTAAATAATTGAATTCTTAGTTGTAACAAATACTTGTATTGTCTACAGGATTATATTAGAAGCAGATTCAGGAGCAGTTGTGCAGAGGGTCGCTTTAAGAACTGATGATATACCGATTGGAGAGCAAACAGTTGCTCAAGTGAGTTTTTGCCAAAATTTTCCATGTGTTATACATGCAAATAATTCATACATGTGTATATTATATTTAGGTTTTCCAATCAGCAAAAGAACAGTTAAAATGGTCATTATTAAAATAGCATTTATTTTATACTAATGTATCGAGTTTAAATTTTAATATTTTATATTTTTGTTTTTCCATTATTTAATATAAATATTATATGTATGGCTTATAATTAATAAATATTAATTGTAAGGATAAATTTGTGTAAATGTAATCTTTTTTTCTAACCAATTTGCAAATTGTAACAACCTGATGTCATCAAAATTTTGTCCTATAATCTGTATGCTTATT